CCTCAGCAAGGGACTCTCTTTTTTCGCTTTAATAGCACTGTCTTGATTAACAATATGTACGTGCGTGCTGGCTTTATAGGACTAGAAATGAGATGATCGGTTTATCACCAGTGATATACTGGTGAAAAGTCTTTACATGTAAGCCCAGAAGCTGTCAGCAGAGACAGGGAGGATGGCAGGTCATGAAGGATATTGCAAATCACGGAAACGTAGGTGGGCTAATTCCACAAGGGAGTTGCTTAACAGTTGGGATAGAGGCAGAATTTTTCTCCAAAGCCATCCCTGTCCTCATCTCCATATCCAGTGTCACAAACCTGTCTGATTCACGTCGACTTGATGAGCTGGAAGAACCTGCTGAGCCTGTGATACCTGTGGCCAGAGGATTAGCAGCTTCTTTCCTTCTTCAATTCTGTTTTTAGACTGGGATACATCTTTACTGAAGATTAGCAGCCTGGTGGGTTGGGGAAATTAGATTTCACAAGCAAACAGGAAAGCACATACACAGAGGTGTGAAAATGAAAGGGGAGGTTTTAATGTAGTGACTTCTGAATGAGGAGATCCTACAGCCTTGAGCATTGGGGCTTTTCTGGAGGTCACGTTACTTCAGAGTAACAGGTGATGTGAATTTAAAGGGAAAATTCCAGAATAATTCCTAGTCTGACACTCCTGTCCCAGAATAAGGGATTTGATTTAATTTAACACAGTTCCAAAATACATTGGCTAATATATTAATTAGCTATTTCATAGCTGTTATTTCAGTTTTGTCCCAGGTAGAGGAGCTTTTGACAGGGCTGGCTGCATTATCCCCTTAGGTGGGTGTCGTCAGCAGAAGCGTTGTGGCTGGTTCCTGCTGGCATGCTGGCTTTCCTCCCCGGGGGCTGTGCCGGTGGCTCTGCCAAATGCCCACCGCGATCGCTGCTCCCCTCCCCTTGGAACTGAGCTTGCTCTCGTCTCTGCTTTTCCCTCTTGTGAATCTGGCAAGCCGGGGCCGATGCAACCGGGGCGTACGCTGTGAGCCAAACTGGCAAAGCCCCGCGCGCTGCTCCAGCTCTGCTCCCTCTGTGCTCCAGCCAGCCGGCACGCACCTTCACCTTACGTTCATGATGACTTGGGAAAATCTGTTTTCAGGAGCCACATCGGCTTTGCCTCTTTAGTGCAGTGTTGTGATATGGGGAGTGTGGGAGGGGAACCCGTTAAATACTTGAAGCACCCCCTAAAAGAAATGTCAGCCATGTATATGGGCACTGCTCATGTATTACAAGCGGCATGAGCTGCCAGTACTTTTTTTCTCCTTCTACGCACTCAGGTTGTCTTGTGACCTCTCCCTGCTTGATTTATTTGGCAGTTTCTCTCCGTGGGAAGGCAGCGGGATGGGTGTGTTACAGCCTGTGAATGTTTTGCTCTATGCCAGCTATTTGCATTCACTTTTATCTGATTAATATACCTGGTGTATCTCTAAATGTCTGGAGTCATTTCTGGTTGATGTAGCGCTACCTTGTACTGTGAAAATTTTTCTGTGTCATCGTTAAATAAAAATTTAGATCTGTCAGGATTGTTTTTCTCCCAAAGGAAGTGAAATGAGATTTTGTTTGGCTTACGTGGATGTATCGGGAATGTTCTCCATCTGATATGCTTGCATGTAGATGAGAGCAAAGGCAGATCTTTTTTTTTTTTTAACCACATGTAGACAACTCAGTCAGTATGATGAATGAGTTTATTACCCTGTAAGGTGCTTATTATATCATGCTTCTCTTTGCCTTTGTCTTTAGGGATGGCTCTTTAACCACTTCAGGGATTGATTGGATTTGATTAGAGAGTAGTTTGTCTTTTGAATCCATTATCACAGATGAAAGTCCACAAGTTTATTCTGATGCAGCTGGAATTGCACCATGTGTGTATTATACGAATGATGACCAAATGCAAAGTTATTTCATAAGAGCCTATTTGAATTGATGAGTTGCCTTTTCTTATAGAATTAGAGTACTGGTTGCAGTTAGGGATGGAAAAGAGCCCACAGGTTCATCCTGCCCATAGCAGCTTTCAAATATGTCCTTTCCCTTCTGCCTCTTTCCTCTCAGCTCCTTCTTCCTTAGAAACTTGAAAATTATGGCTCATCCTTTCATCAAAAAAGAAAATTTTCCTGGTTTGGTTGAACATTTCTGTTGCAGTGGCCAGAAAAGCTTCCCCTGCCTTCTGCCCCGGCTGGAGACTTTCTGCACGGGAGATGGAGGAGTGATGGAGAGTACTTTCCTTCTGGTCTCCCGTAGCCGAGGGTGAGCCAGCTTTGGGAGGGGGGACAGGCTGGACTACCCGGCAGGAGCACTTGCAAACCTCACTTTTCATTGCTCTTTGAAATCATAACACCCTTTCTTTCTCCTAAGCATAGCCAACATGATGCCTCCCTGGCCAATATAGTATATCTGCTCTGAAATGATGGCCAGATTTACATGGGAAGTGAATGTACAGGCTGATGCTCCCAAAGTTTAATGTTACAACATCTTCCTGCGGGTGTGATGGGGCGATGGGGTGAGGATGGGGCAGAAGACCGGGTGGGTAAGTGCAGTGTACCTGCAGCATCCAGCTCCTCTGAACAGTTTCCATGAGCTCTGATATAATCTCCTAAGCGTTTACTTAGGTTTTCACTTCTCTGTAGGAACGAAGCATTGCTGAAGTGTCTGACTGACAGAGGAGGATTTAAGGAAAACCAAAAAAAAAGAGGTAGAGCGAGCTTCCAGGCATTTTCACTAATTGCAGCTTATTATAAATTTAACAGATGAACCATCAGATTCTTGAAGGTGTGCGATCACCACAACCTTTTCTTGGATTCTGCACTGGCTACAGAAAAAATTAACCTCTAAGGTGCTAAGCTAATGTAGTTCATTTCATTGCCCAGTAAGATGTTTCTTGGTTCACGCTTTGCAGGCTTCATTATTCCTTTTATCGCTTCTTTGAGAATATTGGACTGTGGTCTAAAAGATATCTTTGGTGTGGGTTTTTTTTATGTTATTTGTATTTACTCACTGATTATTGTGGGAGGTATGGAAGAATTCTGTTCTTCTCAGAGTCTGCTTCCAGTGAGTGAGGCTTTTTGCCTTTCAATAAAATGTGTCATTTTATTAGTTTTTCCCCACAGATGTCTAATTTGATAGGCACAGTAGGACTGAAGTAATACTTTTTATCTCTTGAAATTTCTGGGTATTTCAGAGCTTCTAAAATAAATTCTGTAACTCTAAAGCTAAACGTTTGTAAGTAGTTCATCTGTCTGATGTAAGATTTTTAAAGAAGAAATATACATATAGCACTTAAAGTTTTTGGAAAGCATCCTGATTTTTCTGGGTTGGTAGTAGCTTTTCTGCCTGTTCTTCTGACTCTCTGTATCATGCCATCCTTGTATCATCATACTCCCTTTGCATTGTCAAAACCCTACATAAAATCTTTGATTTTCTTTTAATTTAAATCTCTGAAATCGTGCTTAGATTTTACACTGACTGCGTTTCTGTTGTGTGATTTAGCCAGAGGAGAGTGCACCTGAGCAGCTTTGCTTCCACCCCTTCAAAAAGGTGTTTCCACTCTCAAGGCTGATGTCTGTAGGGTGCCTGTTGGCCAGTGCTGGCTGCAGAGTCGCCTCTCCCCTTTTCTTCCCTGATTCTCCCCACGCAAAAAACAATTTCAGGAGCATCAGCCACCTGGCCCTCATCTGGTTTGATCCTTTTGGTGAAACTTTCAGTGGTAGGAAATGGCAGGAAATCATCATACATTTATTTGAAAGCGATGATGCAAAAAGAGGGAACCACCGAAGCTGAACAATTTCTAAGAAAGCAACTAAAAGCATCAGCAACAGAGGTCAGAAATTAGGGAGGGGACGGGGGCAAGTAATGATCTTTCTGCAGTAAATTTAATTCACACTTTTTGCTAAATGTAAATGATAGCTTAGGAGAAAACTGCTTGGAATACATAGTAAATGATGTTGCCAGGATACTTCCTGATCATGTTAATTAAACTGTCCCACAGATTTGGCTTAATTGCTGCATAATTTGCATATTGGAAATGACGGTACGCATTACTAAAGAAAGCTCCTATTCTGTTAGCAGAAAGAACATTGTACATGAATTAATTTCCACGGGAAGGAGTCTCTAGACTCATATAATGATGTATCTTGAAAATAAAGTTCGGATTTTTGATAATGAACTGACATATATCTCATTCCTTTTCGCAAGATTACATTTTATGCTTGTTCCACTAAGTTCCTCAGAGATTTCATCCCAACAGCCTTCCTCATGTTGGCTATTTCTTTAATTACAAGAATCACTGTTTCTTTCAAGGTTGCTGGGGGTGAAGCAGATATTAGTTAACTTGCGTAAAGTAGCAGAATATTTGTCTCGAGGCCCACAATTGATGCTGCATGTGGGTTGTTGGTGATGCACTTCACCACCCTCCCAAGTGGAACTCATTAAGCAGTTTCTTCTTGTCTTGTTTTTTGTTGTTGATTTTTTTGTTTTTTTTTAATTTCTGATATGTCTCAGGCATCCCACTTGTGGAGGCCCAAGGCCAAATGGAGAAATACAGAAATATCTCTTTGTTCTTCCAGTCTGAGGGCAGGTGTTGCTGGTGGACACCCTGCTTGGAGTCCTCGGGCCATCCCCGGTGCCTGGCAGGGCGGTGGGAGTAGCCATGTGCCTTTGTAAGACTGAAAAAAGAGGATTTTGCATCAGCATTTCTGCCAGGGTAATATTATAGCTCCTGCCCCTGCTGTTGCTTTGACTTCAGTGATGTTCCTGCAGTGGTGTTTAGCCGTGACAGTGCTTTGGAAAAAGAAGGCAAAACATCAAAATTCCTGCATGAAGTAGGATAGAAACTGTTTTGTTTTGGGGAAAGAAGTCTTCTGAATACAGCAATTTCCCAATTTAGAGTGCTAATTGCTTTGGATGACATCATTGCTGGGACAAGCATTTCTGCTGTGTTTCTACTTCTTAATTCTTTTTTGATCTGTTTTTAAACAGGTGATCATAAACAGCACAATCACACCTAACATGACCTTCACTAAAACATCGCAGAAGTTTGGCCAGTGGGCGGACAGCAGAGCAAATACTGTGTTTGGTTTGGGCTTTCCCTCCGAGCAGCAGCTGACAAAGGTACTGTGGCTCACTGAATTTCTGCAAAAGCTGTCTTGTTTCTTATTAATGACGAATTGCATATACCCATCTGACCTCTTCTTTCCTGCATGCTTCTGCAAGTCCTCTTCATCCGTGCAAGTTGCCCATCTATAATTACTCAGTGTCTGTGTATACAGAAGCAGGCAGTGTTGTAAACTTTATGGTCAAAACCATAAATTAAACCTGACCACTGATGATGGTACTAGCAAGGTGATCTCAACGGTATCTTGCCCAGCATGGCTGAAAGCATTTGTGTTTACAGAAACAACCTGAACTCTGATGTATTTTTTGGCATCTCCCTGCTCTGTGTGCTCATTTCAGCTGAAAGCGGCACCAAAAGCAAAGGGAACCACTGGTGTGCCAGGACTGTCAGCACTGGGGGCTGTCTGATGTCTCTGAAGGAAGAGAGTTGCTATCCCAGCTTCAGCAATGTGCATTTTGATGACTTGCTGGTTGGTAGCTGACTGAGGTAGAGTTGCCAGCCCCCAGGGCTTGCTGGTTTTGCAGATACCACTGTGGGTGGGGCCGTGCTCTCAGGAGGCTCAGTAAACTATCTGTGTTAAAATAATACTGCATTTTTGGCATTTCAGCTCAGTGGTGTGATTTGCAGCCCTGACCCAAAGCGGTTTTATCACAGACCTGGGGAGGTGACAGTGAGCTGTGGCAGAGACAGGGGATGAGTAGCTGGGGGGGTCTGACGCCAGCTTTGGTGGCAGAGCTGTGTCTCGGAGCTGCACCCCAAACGTGGGTTTGGTGTTAATGCAGCACTTGCCTGGACCAGAGACTGGCTACAACAGCAGGCTTGTAAAGTATAGAGCTGCCTCTGTAATGAATAACCAGCGGTTTAAGATACATCCTCTGTCATTAGATTAGTGGTCATCAAGCAGCTGAGATGTTTGTTTGTTTATGCAGTAAAAAGCCCCCTGCTTATCTTGACACATAGTTGACACTTGAAGCATGGCTCCTTGGCACTGGGTTTTGTCAGTTAACTTGACGTGTCCTTGGGCACGGCACAGTTGTGCTGCTGGCTTCTTGTGTGCTTTGATACAAAAAGAATCAGTAGAACAAGATGTTTCTCGTAGTGTCTAAAATAGCAAAGGCAGACCATTGCGTTAGAAGGAGGACCTTTCCATCAAGTGAATTGTTACTGGAATTTATTTTACTTAGGTGCGTCTTACTGAGTTATTGCAGTTTCCAGAGAATTGAATTACTTGCAAATATTTCTTAAAGGTAAAGCATATTTTACTTTTCACATTAAATTTTTTTTGGACTTGGGATGTTCATAAAGGTGTCATGGCAATAATCTGCTCTTCTGGAATGCTAAAGCCACCCAACCAATCACATGCAAAACTGTTCTTTAAAAATGAGGTGCTGGTTATGTTTTATGATGCTTAATCAAGTGTAGAGGACTGCTCATTTCACCTATGCATATTCTCCACTCCTGTGGCAAAGAGGTGTTCGTAATAGCTAAATACTGTATGGGAATATGGGAGGATTCAAATGGACCTAGGGGAATGGTTTGTTTTGAATAACAAATAAGCATGATACAGTGCAACCTTTGGATACCAAGTGAAAGAATTAGCACTATTGGATAGCAGTTTTTAATCCCAGATTACTGAAGTCACGCCTCTGCAACATGATGGGTGACCATGTGGTACCTCGATGCTGGCTGGGGTTAAGCATGCACCACGTGCCGCATGGAGCCGGTGGTGCTGGGGCTGGCTCAGGAGATGAGAGGTGTGACAAGGCACAGTGTACGTTTGGAGGTCCTTGCACCCTAATCAATGAGATTTTACCATATTTGCCAAAACTGTCCAAGCACATACTTAGAATAAATTGAATGCTGGTATTGAGAAGCATCTCTTTAATGCTCATGTGGCTGGACTAGAGCCAATCTGAAAAGCATGTTATGTGGGCACAGGGGCCCCAGCACCAGCTGTGTTTCTCTCCAGATCAGTTTGCACATCTGTTTGCACTGTGGGATCTGCTGAAGAGCCCACTGCCAACAATACAGCCTTCTACTTACAGGAAAAGCTTTCCAAGTCAGCAGAAAGACTTTTTCTGGTTGAAGGGGAGCTTAAGGGGAGCAATTCTGAAAAGGGCTCAAGATGATCTATTTTAAAAAAATCTGACAGTTATTTTTCTGGATAATGTTAGAAAACCTGGTTTATTACCACCATGCAAAGCAATGGGACAAAGCTATCCTTTATCATCCGTGCTCCCCAGTTTAATTATTGAACCATTAGCACAAAAAAATCAGAGATGGTGGGGAGACTGCAGATGTATAAGTGCATTGGGAATAGTAAAATCAAGTTTCATTTTATGTTGATATCATTATACTCTTATAAAAGGTATAAATTAAAGCTTGCCAGTTTTACTGGAAATAATTGAAGCTTTTAGACAGGAATTGGAAGGACACACTAAAACTCCACTAAACCAGAGATCAATAGCCCTGGCTTAAAATAAATAAATAAATAAAGCTGAAAAATGTCTGCTGAAAACAATGAATAATAATGAGACATAAGAAGAGGTTAGCACGCCTAAAAACGTCTGCATTTTTAAGTATATTGGTTGGCCTAATAAAAGATATTGCCTCTTTCTAATGCCTTTCTTCTCTTGAGATACTTAAGCATTAATCCATACCTATAGGGAAAAGCAGTTCAAATTAAACATGAGCCATTAATGAAAACTGCATTCAGTGACCTGGTAACCTAATTACCATTCACATTGATTGGGAGAATCCCAGGGCTTAAAGCTGATGTCCTACTTAGGGTCCTTTTCGACTTACTGACCCTCCTTTCCCCCCATCCCACCTTGTGCCTCAAAAAGGTCTCAAGACATTATTCATACGTAGCTGCAGCCAAATTGAAATAGGTGAGAATTAATGGTGTGCCTGGGTGTGATGAAGAGGCAGGGCTGGTGCTGTAAAGGCAGTGATGTGTTTTGCACGTGAAGCAGTTGAGTAAAATTTCTGCTATCATTCAGAGTGCTTCAACACAGACGTGCTATCTGAGGAGCTGTAGGTAGCCAAGGGCATAGGGACAAAGATTTATACAGGTGAGAAACCCAGTAAACCCAGACTTTGCACATCGTAAAGCAACGGCATCCAGCATCTGGGGAGCACTGTACTTTGTTTCTACACATGCATGCACATTATATGTGCGGTATTTGCCAGGCGCTGTGTGTTGCAAGGGAGAAAGCTCGGAGCAGAGCCTGCCCCTGCTTCCAGCACACAGCACAGCCCCCCAGTCCAACCAGCTCTGGTGCTGGCAGCACACTGGCTGTGCTAGAGCAAGTTAGTGGCCACTTTCTGGAGTAAATATACTTGTTTGCTGCTGATCTGCCCAGTGCTGAGGGCTCATCCAGAGAAAACCACAGGCAAAGCAACGCGTGCCTTGTGGGTCACAGCACGGTGGTGCTCCCCAACAGGAACATCATCACCCAGCCTTCTGCAAACTGAGAGGGTGATGAAATATTTATGAGACTGCTTTGGGTGGGAGCAGCTGTTTCATCTAGCTGACACTGGCACTATTTGTCAGTAGGAGACGTAAAATACTATGCCAGGTCAGGAGCTTACAATTCACATATGCAAAATAATGCTTTTTAATGTACAAAATGTTAAGAAGGTCTATTTAGATATGTAGATATATCTATATATTTCTCCACATGACAAGCTGGCTGCAGATTTGAACAGCCTTTAAATAATTTGTGCAATGCACAGTAGCATCTCTGAGTCCCCGTTAAATTTCATGGACCAAGACTCATAACTAAGCAGTGCTCATGGGCTGCAGCAGCCTTAGACTAAAAGGCTTCAGTAAGGGTTGGTAGCACCAAATCTTGTCCATATTGCAGCTTAGTCCCACAGCTTCCTGGGACATGGGAAGAGATGTCATATAATCCCTAATGGACTATTGGAGTGGTGTTTAGTTGGCGTTTCTCCTACTGCAGTCTTTTTTTTTCTAATTTTGGGGAACTTTTTCTGCCCAAGTACATGGTTGGAGGAAAGGGAGGATGAAGGGAGTAAAGATGGAAGGAGAAGGAGCATGATGGTTTTTTTAGTTGGTTTGGGGTATTTATATATGCATTGCCCCTCAAGACCAAGTTTTCATTTACTAAACAGAAGATCATTTCACTTTTTACCTAGGAATTTCACATTTAAAAACCACTCCCTGTTGTTGCAGTGGTTTGATAACTCAAAGTCAGCTTAGATCTTGGAGGTGGCACATGATTTTGTAGTATCAGTTATTTGTCAATTATTTATGCTTGGGACAGAAGAAATCAGTCACTGGACAGAAAGCGTCTCTGTAATTTCTGCTAGTGATCAGACACTGTGGCCGTGCCGTCACTCTTGGAGATGGCCGCGGGATCTGGGTAGCTTCAGAGACGCCTGGTCTGCTGCCGTAGCAGTTGGTGATGCTGCAGAAGTTTGGGCTGTCACCACCATGTTGCTGCACTCAGAAGAGTAATCAAGTGCAAGGCTTTAATTTCATAACAAGCCAAGTGATCCTCTGTAGCTTTCAAAGATAGACTGTTAGTAAAATCGAGCAGGTATTAATTAGCTAAGAATGAAAAAGAAATGGCAGCAGAACTCTTTATGGACTGACTGTTTCCAGGTGGGGGGGTAAACAAAAACCAGAGACAGTCTTTCACCACCATTTCTGTTACAGCCGTCTTCACATTCGTAGCAACGATTAGAATGAAGGGTAATATTTTGACTTCTAAAGCTGAAGATCTGTCACTAAGATGGTGAAAAATTCAGTTACTTGTACTTGTTTCTAAAAGCAAGTGTGTTAAATACATGTGTTGGTAAACTAGAGACATGACTGAAATCTATTGTGCAATGAGACCATTATCAGTTTTATATTGAAGATTAGCTTTGCTTGGTCATATACAATTTTTTATGATGGAAATGTGGAAAAATGTCATTTTCGTCTCAGCTCACATAATTTTCACAGCAGTCTCCTGTGTGCTTTATGAAGATAGTTGCAAAAATAAAATTTGATAGATCGCTTCCAATTCTTTTTGTCTCTTCATATTTCATATAGACTATGAAGAACCCTGATAAATTTTTCATACTTGCCTGTAAAGATTTATTGTAAAAGAGAGACTCAAAACAGCCCTTTACTATTTGCAGGAAATCCAAGTGCAGAGCTTACTGTTGATACAATATTTTAGAAATAATCAGTTTATTATAGCTGTTTTGTCACCACAGGAGATACATTTTGTGTAAAGTTGGAGTTTAATCACTTAAGGCGAAAATGTAATGGAGTTATTCCTGATGATCTTTATAGTACTACAAAGGTAATCAAGTCGTTTGTGTGTCTAGTGACTGCACATGCCGTCGGATAGCAACTACTGCCATCCGAGAGCACATACTTTGCATATGCAATTTCAGTTGTTGTACAGAAAACAGCTGAATTTGAGATCTTGATCTTCATTCATAAGCATCGTCACATATTGTAGCCCAAAATTTCACTCGGTGCTGAGAATGTGCTCATCCATGGGATTTACAAATGATGTATGTGCGTTTGTTGGGAATTTCCATTTCTGTGCGTTATACAAAACACAGTTGCCTCCACATATAAATCCAGTTTTCTCTTAGACCAGTTGGAGAAGATTTGTTTAATCAATCTTTATAGTCCCAGTATTTTACTGAGAGAGAGCATGCTAAATACCTGCTGTAAATCTAAAAGTTAGAAGGTAAGATTAGTAAGTGGATAATGATTCTCCCCATTCTTTGACTAGAAAATCTGATGTGCGTTCATGCTTTTATTTACAGTTTTGTCGTAAGTGTTCTGAATTATCTGAGGATATAATGGCAGTCCTTTAGTCACAAAATGTGCAGTAAAATAGATTTATTTATATGCACTTCTAATATGTCTTTCCTTTCTAGAGTTTCAAGTTTCTCAAAACATAGGCAAGCAAAACCAAGCTGCTTTAGCAGGAAGACAAAGTTTCCCACTCTTATACAGGCTACATCTTAATTAAAGAAAAAATCCTTATGCCTTTTCTTTCATCTTTGCAATCCTCCTTTTAAAACTTTAAACAGTATTTAAAGCGTTTAAAGCCCTGCAACCCTGACTGGCTGTGATAATACTTGTATTTCAAAAGTGCCAGGCTGGCTTCGGAGCAGATGTCCTACAGCAACTTGTAGAGATTGGGATCATTATTTTTCATCTTTATCTTTCCTTTCCCCTGCCTCTTCCAGCTTGCTATAACCCTCTTACAGGAGGCATTCAAGCCTTTCCCTGAAGTCTTCTCCCTTCATTTTTGCCAGTAATAAGAAAATTAGACCAAAAAAAGCTGTGTTTTCATATGGCCCCATCATACATTCAGATCTACCTTTTTCTGCTTTTCTCTGTCTTGATAATCCCCTGCTTGCATCCTGCAGATATCTCAAGAGCTCATTTGCATTCTTTAATTTAATTGACTTGCTCTTAGGAATAGAAGACATTGGTGGTTGTTTTTTTTAATCCAAACATATGTCTTTTATACTTTCAACTTTAATACACTGTCAACATAGAGTGAAGCAGAGGTGGGGGAGGAAATAAAGAAAACCAAATCAAACCAGAAGACACCAATAGCCCCTTCTTTTTCTCCATGGGTTTTTACTGTGATTGGCCAGAGCTACGGAGAGGTCCCTCTTTTAGAAACACACCCGTTCCTTTTGAAAGAATCTCCCTGCCAAAGAATTAAAATGTTTTTTTTCTTGCCAAAAATTTTAAATTATCAAAATTATTTGTTCACTTTTGGATATCTATGAACCATATACATGTAGGAATCTGAACAGTTTAATAGATGATAAATCATTTTCATAAATATCTTTCATCCTTTTCCAGTTTGCAGAGAAATTCCAAGAAGTAAAAGAAGCTGCCAAACTAGCAAGAGACAGATCTCAAGAGAAAATTGAGACCTCAAGCAATCATTCCCAGGTTTGTAATTTAGCTTTAATACCTGTGTGCATACAGGATAAATAATTTAAAGTTAAATTTTCTAATGGACTGTACCAGCTTCTGGCACCAAGCTTAAAGTGTATAAAATGAAGATTGCCGAAGGTAATTGTCAGCTGCTGGACATTAACATTGTCAGAGGAATATTTTTCATCCATCCATGCTCTTTGCCTTCATTTATATCTTTTTTTTTTTCAGCAGTTCTTGAGCTGTTACAACTTTTTTAATAACAGGGAAAGCTATACATCCTTTGATTTGTACCATTACACATACTTTGGGTCACTGGAAAGTAAGTCAGTGTCGTGCTTCAGCAGATGGTAAATGAGATTCATCAAGATACTTCTTTTTGTCATCTGTCTAATCTACTTTTGTAGGAGTTCGGTTTGCCAATGGAGAGGCTGACTTTGTGGCCATCGTGTTTCGTTGCCTGAATGTGACGAACTGAAAGCTGTGGTGTGGGAAGGGAGGACTGCTTTAGCACATGGTTGGAAGAAGCTTGTGCTGCATATTTGTACAATACCCTTTTCTAGACAGCACACCTTGATGTAGCCAAGTGCCTCTGTGTCCAGGGAGATCTGGGTTTCTTACAGATTGAGGAAAGTGAGCGTTGTCCCAGTCTCTCTATATGACTGCAATTTCATACACATTGCATTAGGTAAGAATGAACCCCCTTCAGTGGGCTTTTTCCTGGCCAGGGCTAGCGTTTGGAGGAAAGTTAAAGGAATTTTGATCAGAGAGAAATTCAGGTGTATGAAAAGTTGCTGAATGCTCTTAGTCTTGCAACTAACCCCCTTCATGGGGTCCACAAATATTGATCTGAGGGGCTGACTTTGGATACTTCTTTTCTGAAGACTTCGGTCATGGCCTTTATGGTTCACTTTGTTTGTTCTCCGTTGATGATCAGCACCAAGCAGCCTATGAATGGTATCTCTTTGCTCTTTGGAGGAGCAGTATCTTCTTTTTTTTATTTTTTATTTTTGGTTTGGACTTTGTGTGCTTCCAGGTGCACTGTATTGTTTCATTATCTTAAAAAAAACAAACAACCTTCAGAAAACACAAGCCTTGTCAGTTAAAACATTTTAAAAAAATTTTTTGGAACACTTTAAACTTCCATTTTGTGTATCATTATCATTTTTTCATTCTTTTTAAACAGACCAGCTTTGCAGCCAAGATGTAAAGGGTATGTGTTTGTTACCACCATTCCGCCAGGAGAGTATACGCAGCCTAGGGCTCTGCAGGGTGGTGTGGGATCGATATTACAAAGAAATTGTTGTGGTGGTGTTGCAGGAGATGCAGGAGAAGCCCTGTGTTCATTTGTGTGTTGTGCTGCAGGAATCTGGACGTGAAACACCATCTTCCACGCGAGCATCTAGCGTGAACGGGACAGACGACGAGAAAGCGTCCCATGGTGGTCCTGCTGAGGCACATCTCAAGTCTGAGAATGATAAATTAAAAATTGCTCTAGCCCAAAGGTGAAGTTCCTTTAATACCTAAATTGCATTGGAATAGCATGCTGTAATTATCTGATGGCTAATGATATTAACAGAAATTATTCAAATGTAATTGCATTAATTTAAAACGATGCAGCAGAATGGATGAATGAGCAGATTTTAGCAAGTATCTCCTGGTACCCAGTTGAGAGGTACTTACCATTTATTTTTTTCCTGATCTAGTTCGTGATGAAATAAGATCTCTTTTATTCTGCTGATGCCAACTCTTATAACTACCTTCATCTGTGAAGTTTTAGAGCTACAGAAATAACATTAAAGCCATGGGGGAGAAATTGCTCCTGATAACATGTGAAGCCAATCTCTTCTTCCTCTTTGAGTTTGCTCCATTTACTTTGATGAAAGTAGATACGGATATTTAAAATTATAAAAGGGAATGAACTCAACCTTAAAAAGTTGAAGTGAGGAATACAATTTCATCAGGCTGCTTAGAAGTCTTTGGGGGATGTTTCTAAATCTGTGGACAATGCCCCTTGAAGTCACATTTTTTGCTATTTGCTTTGATAAATTATTTGAAAATGCTGAGAAGAATAATTTGCAGCCGTAGTGAAAATACAGGCATTGGAATATGCAAAGTTACGGCACTAAAATACCATAATTCTCTACTGGGATTTTGCCTTGTCTGCCTCTTGCATGTGAATATATCTGTGAATGGAAAGAAAATATAACAGGATCAAGCTACTCTTAAAAAGCTACTTAAAAAATAAGGCAGCAGCACCATAAGCAGCATTACCCAGTGAGCAATTCTAAGGTTGCATATATTATATTGGAAGTACATCATCTCTCTTTATTGACATTTCAGTAGCGTAGCCTGTTTCAAATCATAACGTTTGCTCGTTCCGCCTGCTGAAGACACCTCCACAGGCAAGTAGCAGCTCACATGTAGGGAGTTTCAAAGCCTTCCCTCCATCACTCTCTAATCTCGTGCTCTACGCTGCAGCTTCAGGCTTTGGGAAACGAGGAGTTTAATTCTTCAGCATCATGTAACAGAGCTGCCCAGGTCTCCGGCTGCAGGGAGCGCCTGAGCCTGTTGCTGCTGCCGGAGGGCAGTGGAGGCAGCAGCTGTTTTGCTGTTTTCTTCGGTGTGACCCAGGGAATGATCGGCTCAGCCTGGTGACAGAGCTGGCAGAGGATGTGGAAAGGCTGAGGAAGGTCGGGGAGTGTGAGGGGGAGATAGATTGGTGGAGCCACACCTCACCACCCCTGAGGCCAAGGCAGCAGAGGGAGCCTCCACAAGAAGCAGAGGATCCCCTGCCCTCTTGCCACCAAGCAGAAGGAGGGGACCTAAGGGACAGGGTGGGGGAGTCAAAAGAGGTCCCTGCTCGGGGCGGCAGGCATGTCCCCTCCCGGCCTCCCTCACCTTCCCAGTTGCCCTTACACAACAGATAAGGGGCCCATCTTGAGGGCCAGGTGACTGCAGGTGTAGGTGACGGTCCACCCAGGGGGTTGCCTAGGTTGTCAGTCAGCCCCACACATCATGACTGCCTCTGTTGAGAAAAACGGAGGGTAACTGTTATAGGCAATTCCCTTCCAAGGGGAATGGAGGGCCCGATATGCCGACCATACCCATCCCATGGGGCAGTCTTCTGCCTCCCTGGGGCCCGGGTTAGGGGTGTTGGTAGGAACTCCCTGGTCTGTTACGGCCCCTCTGATTGTCACCCACCATTGGTTATGCAGGTTGGCGGTGGTGAGGTTGCGGAGAGAAGCCCAAAAGCGATCAAAAGGGACTTCAGGGCATTGGGGCAATTGGTTGAAGGATCAGGAGCACAGGTAGTGTTTTCCTCAGTCCCGTCAGTGCCAGGGGAGAATACTGAAAGGAACAGGAAAACTCACCTGAGTAACATGTGGCTCACAGGCTGGTGCCGGCAGTGGAATTTTTTGATCATGGATTTTTTGATCATGGAGAGGTTTACACAGCACTGGGCCTGCTGATGACAGATGGAGTTCAGCTATCGCAAAGGGGGGAAAGGCTTTTTGCTCATGACTTGGCGAGGCTCATCGAGAGAGCTTTAAACTAGGTTTGAAGGGGGAAGGGGATATAGGCAGGCTTGCGTAGAGTCTCTGTGTTGCACAGGTACGGCGTCCCCAGGCCCGCACTGCAGCGGGTGCTCAGCAAGGCGCGGCCGCGCCGCTCCAGAGGTGAGAACGGAGCATGCACAGTGCCAGAGCAAAACTCCTGTTTGCAAACGGTGGAGGTCCCAGCTGCCAGCTTAACCCCACAGCCTGCTTTGACAGCAGGACTTTTGTTCCAGAAGCACAGGTCAGTCTTGCTGGAGTTGATAGATCCCTTTGTTTTGGCAGAGACAGTCAAGTTAAGGCTAATGTTCTCCTTAGGTGGGCAGTGGCTAGGGGCCAGTACGCACATCTGAGTATGCTCGATCTTACAACAACCGATCCTTGGTAAACACACACCACGGGTGAATGAGTTTGCAGTAATGATACGCAGGATTATAAGGTGAAGCGACCTAATGGCACCCTGGTTTTCTCAGTTCATCCAATGTGAAGAAGTGGGAGACGGAGCTGCAGACGCTGCGGGAGAGCAACGCCAGGCTGACCACGGCGCTGCAGGAGTCCGCAGCCAGCATCGAGCACTGGAAGAAGCAGTTCTCAGCCTGCAAGGAGGAAAACGACCAGCTCAGGAGCAAGGTAGCAGAGCATGCCCACAGGAGAGCTGTCTCTTCCAGCTAACTGCTCCTGCCATTGCTCTTTCTCTTGGATTTCTGCTGCTTTATCTTTGTGTGTGTTAGGAGTTGGATTTTGGTCTTTGAAAGAGAAGTGGACATTGGGGGTTAAGGCAGCTGCTTCCCTCTGCACACAGCGGGCAGGGAATTTCAAAGGGCTGGGCATCAGCGGGAGGCCTGGTGCTGCTGCATCACATGAAGCTCCCTGCCTCTTGATTTGGGAGATGGTGTCAGCAGGGGTTCCTGGCTGGGGTGATAAAACAGAAAGGTTTTAAAAGTGGGAATACTATTGCGGACCCCTTTCAAAGCTCACTTAAATACTGCCAGATGATGAATGAGCAGAAGGCAAGGTTATGGCCTGGTTACCCACAGGAAACCAAGCTGGGAACCACTCAGTATCAGAAGTAAATCCCGACGGCAGGCAGGGGAATGAGGACATGAGTTATGTCCTCAGCACTAGGGGCTGTCAGCTGGGTCCTCCAGCGCTAACGCCAGGCACGTCTCATCCAGAAACCTGCCAAAAGGCATCATCAAAAGCCTTGTCCCCTCCGTTACTGAGCACAAGTTGTGTAAGACTGAGGGTGAGCAGCGGCTAGAGCAGCGAACAATTGAGAAGTTTAAATTTTTAAAGCCTCAGTTTGAGTATTCATTGGTACTGTCCTTCAAACACTACAGTGCTATCAGTAACAGCCCCACACAGGCTTGGCACCAGCCTGAGCACAGGGAAGCTTGGTTTCCGTGGGCACCGCTCACAGGGATAATGTCACTCTATTAATCTTAAATGTCTTTGAAAAATCTGGACCCTTTCCCTGCTCGCTAAGATGGATCACTGGGGCGTTTGGTGTAGAAATCGCGTTGTATCAGTCTGATGAGGATTTTTTTGTTGTTTAGTGTTTGCTTTCAAAGAGGGAAAGAATTGCATATCTTCTTATGTGTCAGAAGGCTGCAAATAGTATTTCAGCATTGGAGGTGGCCTGGGTTGGCTGTTGGCACTGAAATTCCATGTGGATCAACCTTTCCCCCAGGCGGATACTCTCTGTTTGCATGTATTTTAGGTGTGCATCCAGTCTGTTTTGGATAGGGGAGAAGCGAGAGACTGGAACAGTACATTATAAGAAAATAGCATACTTTGTAGTTTTTTACTTTTCTGTACTGTTGCAGAGAAAAGTTGTTCCCATTAACATTAACTGGTGAAACATGCCACATCTCGGTAGCTGTAGCCTAGATATGAGGAGGTTATCAAAACACTGCCTTACTACAGCTGCAAAGTCATCGTACCGGTGACTGGCCAGACTGAGCAGCGGCGCCGTCTGTATAACCCGCTGTCTTCTTCCGTGCGGGGAGGTTTTCTGAGCTTTTCCCCCAAGTAGGTTCCTTGCTCAGCGCTCACACTGCACCACTGCAGCACCCTGGGAAGTTCCTTCTCCTTTATTAATTGGGTCAGAATTTTTTGCATATTGCTCTACCTTCAAATGAGGGAAGTTGTAATCCCAAAGCAACAAGAAGCTCAGCATTAAAGTACATGCTTTAATGAGCTGGCCCATCGGGAAGTGCATCTCCTGGGAGCTCAGTCCAGAGCTGGCAGGAAGAGGTATGGAGATAGCAAAGCACATCCCTGGGCGAGAGAACAAAGCGGTGCACATTGCTCTGAACTGGTTCTTCCCCCAAAGTTTTGATGTTGGGTCCCTTGTACTCCAGCTAGAATAATAAGCAACCCCTGAGGAGGCAAAGCTGGGAGTGCGGGAGAGATTTCTTCTCCTTGCTGCATTAGGACACCCCATCCCTCATAGTCTTGTGTTGGTTTCATAGAAATGAAGTGTGGATTTTATTCCCAGCCCCACTTATTCTAGCAGCTCAGTGTTTTGTGCATTCTTGGGTAATTATATGAGATACTGTGTGAGAGAGAATAAACACAGTCCCAGGGCTTCCTAGTGGATGTGTAAATTGGCTCTTTTTAAGGAAAGAAGCGATAATTTTGTTGGAGTGAATCAAATGCTATGATCTAGGAAACAGATTCATAACAAATTAAAATTGTCCATGCTTCCCTCTGCTCGGTGGAGCAATGCCCATTTACATCAGCCGTGGTCTGCCCCAAATTTCCAGAAATTTGAAAAATTTCACCTGATGTCTGACATTTCTTAAAGATTGAAGAACTGGAGGAACAGTGCAATGAAATAAATAAAGAGAAGGAAAGAAATGCGCAGCTGAGTAGACGCCTCCAGGAACTGGAAACAGAACTTCAGGACAAAGAGCTGGTAAGTGCCCTGCACACAGAAATGGCATGCTTCAGAGTCTGAGTGGCTGTGTCTGCTTCACACTTGGGATGTGGATTTATGGACTGACTCACCTACAACCAGAAGAAGCCCCATGTCTCAGGGTGTCACCCATTTCTAGATTTTCCATGTACAACTTTAGCAATAGTTTGATAGCGTTCCTCAGTCTCAATTTCGCGATGTGTTACGCACTGTGACAGCACACTTTAATTTGGCAGTGGTTAACAAACATGATACTTTTATGTATACAATGCTTTACTCCTAATAGAAGAGCTGGAGTAGTGGAACAAGTTATCCAAAGGCAGGCAGACGTATGCTGAGAACAGATTTGGTTGCCAGTCCCCATTTCCTGAATTCCCGTAGACATCAGGAGCATCATTAAAAAGCCATCATTTACAAAATAACCTGGCATTTGTGTAACAGGTCCTATTTCTTTATCCGGATGGCTTGTAGTCTTCAGCTTTGCCATTTTACGGTCTCCCTCTGATCTCAGGACTAATGCCAAGAGTGAGTAATTCACATTCACCTAGAGTTTGTCATTTTTGACATACAGGGTGTTCATTTTTCTACCGTGAATAATGTTGATGGCTTGGAGCCCCTAAGCAGTGGGGAAAATAATGGGATCCTTGGTTTTTTCCTTCATCACAGTGACCAAATGCTCCGTGCTGGCTGAAGAGAAAAAGCTGTCAGCAGGTGCAGTAAAGTTTGCCATGTGCCATTACAGCATCTCTGCCAGTGCTCTTAAAAGCAGTGCTGTTAAGGGGTTTTAAGATGGCACAAGGAAATAGTTTAGGGAGATGGATTTTGATGCACTGTTATAAATATAATATGTTTTTTCAGCCCCATATTTCAAAGGAACATGTCATGCTTTCTTCCCAGCCTTTTTGTGGTAATAGCATGTATAATAAACCATATTATCTGCTAGTGTTTTCCTCAAGATTCACATTTTTACGGTACCAAATGAACCAGAAAATTGATTGACTTGTGAATATTATATGCCTATCTTCCATTTACACTGACAATATACTAACTTGTTTTCAAACTGCATACTTAGATTAGCAGGTCCTTGATTAGGTCTAAACCACCCATAAGTAACCCTTTCATGGTCTGCAGTTCAAACCAGCCTGAAGCCTGCTCAGAGGACCTGCTGATGTCCTCTTCATGTAGGAAATGAGGAGAAATGTAAAGCCATGGGAGTCAGGACAAAGCTATCTAGTGAAATATTTATATATATACCGTATGCCATGTGCCATATCGCATATATATAGTATGTATATATATATGCACGCGATGTATTATAGTATATATAGTAAGTATACAGTATAGCAGTGTGTGTGTGTGTATGTATAGTAAGTATATATAGTATAATATTTTTATATTTTGAGATCTGAGCCCCCAGGCGTTATTTATGTATATACAGATATATATGTGTGGGAAACAGGGGGACTTGAGGAAAAAACGTTATTGTCTGGTTCTGTGGAAGAGCTGGACTTACGGATTCTGTTACACTCACTGTGTGCTGTAAGTTCACCTGTTAGGGAAGAAATCATATTTTGTAGCCAAGGAATCTGCCTTTCAGATAGGACTGGTTTTGCTGTCCTGTGTCAGTATGGCTCAGGGAGGATATACCCCTGCTGCCTCTTGAGGCCATCACCTACATGGGCAGTTTCTGGAGGAGGCTCTTGCACTCTCTTTGAGTCTCAGAGTTTCTCTTGGACCTGCAAATGTGCTTTTCAGGTGCTCTGACAATCCTTCTGTAAAATGTACAGGCATTCTTCAAGTCTTTCCCTGCTACCCACATTGGTGGTGTTCGTTTGTTGTGTTAATATATTCAGCTCTCTTAATTTCCATCAGAGACATGGTCTCCTATCAAGTCACGTTGCTCTTTTCATGAACTCTTTTCAGCTAGTCCTCTCAATTTGGATAGTGATGCCAGAACTGAATACGAATTTGGAGGGGGGGCGGTTTTCAGAGCTGTACAGTGGAGGAGAGCCTATTACAGCTGTGCTCTGTAATGATGCCTCTCTATATGCAGCTCATAATGCCATTGGCCTTTTTTGCTGCCACATATCATTGAAAATTCATGTCTAATTTGCTCTTTGCTACCATCTATAAATTGCTTGTAGCATTACAGCCCTTCAGATTTCTCTCTTATTGAATAAATCCTTTGCATAGGTGTGTGGTTAAGATTTCATTGATATAATTAATGGCATTCATGCTAGAGATCGGATTACATTGTCTGTGTTACAAGTATGAAGTCACAAATATAGTGCAAAAATGTATTTTAGTAGAAAATTAGCATGTGTTTTGGAATGCAGACATGCTATTTTGATTATTTTACATTCAAATACTGTACAGAATACAATAAAATATGCAAAGCCATTTCATATTCTCAAATTTTCATTATGCTTTAAATTGAAGCTCGCATTCTTTTTTTTTTTTTCTTTTATGTTTTCAAAGGAACTGGAAGATCTCCGAAAGCAGGGTGAAATTATACCACAGCTAATGTCAGAATGTGAATCTGTATCTGAACAATTACAGGTACAGTTTAGCAATGAAATTAATTTAAAAATAGTTGATACATTTACTTTCTTTCTCGTAACTATATGCTTTCCTCTGTTCAGACTTCAGCATTTGAAGGCAAGAGAGGTCCAGTCTGTAAAAACAAAAAATGCTAATTACGTGCAAAATACACTGTGCCCTTCCCAGCGCAAGAGTAATTAAATAGCTCCATTTCTTTGCCTTGCTGTTTGCAGAAATTAGTTTGCCTGGGATTGTGTTGCATCTGTCTCCTGCAGATTCCAGGCTATCCTGTATTTCTGCCACTCTGGGCTTGTGGAGCTGCACCACAGCCATGTGTGTTGAGCAGCACTCCAAGACCTGTGGCTAATTGCCGCGGTGGCGCTAGGGAAGGCTTTTTGGAAAGAAGCAGATGAGTGTAGCTGCACACCATCAGGGAAAAAAGTTTCCCTGAGGATGTGTTTACATGCTGCATCATTCCTTTCCAGCAAAGCATAGCTGCTGTGGCTTGATTTTGCACATGTGGCTCCTCTGCTGGGAAGCGCTCATGCCGAGCAGAGCTGGGTGGACTGCGGGAGCCCTGCCCCAGCTGGAGGCTGGGCTTTGGGCATCACTTGTTAACGTAGGGGCTCATGTAAATGCAGTAAATTAATGCATGAAAGGAGAACAAATATAAGCAGTCTCATCAATGAAATAAAATCCAATAAATTAAATAAGTCATCACTCTGATAATCTAAATGATCTAAAATCATTTAGAAGGCCACTGAGGAGTGCAGATGCTGAAAATGGTTAAATTATGAATTTTGTTTGATTCAGTATGGTAAAATATGTTGTCTGTGGGTTTTGGTGAGAATAGGCATGTGCTTACACACATGAAATGGAGAAAAATAGCAGAAGTGCTAACAAGAGGGGAAAATAATAGAACAAACTGCAGCAAGGGAAGTGGTATGTGGCTACCCTGTTCCTTGCCTGGGTGGTCACACAAAGTGGAACTTTAAAAAGATGCCAATAAATCTAAAAGTGCTGAATAAAGCAATATTATTCCTAAGACAATATTTTCTGTGCTTGTTTTTCAAGGTTAAACCAACATAGATAATTCTGTATGTAATTGGTGGCAGAGAGTCTAATTCTGCAACTGTAGCAATGACAGAAATATATGCATAGTGCATGATTTAAATCCAGCTGAATTTTAAGATACCAACCAAATGACAAAATCTGATGTAAAGCGCCTTTTCCAGTTAATCTGTGTCCTTTCCTGCGTGGGCTCTCTTCCCTTTTAATCTGACTACCGCACGTCGCTTGCTCTCAGAAGTGCTGAGAGTTTAATCAGTTTGCAGACGTCGAAGCAAACTTATACAGCTCGGCTGCCATTTGTTGCTTTACCCTATTAAATGCTGTTCATCCTTCTTCTCTATGATTCATCTTCTTTTCTCTTTTGTCTTTAAGGCTGCTGAGGAAAAGAACAAAGATCTTGAAGAGAAAGTCAGAACGCTAAGGACAGAAGTTGAAGAGAGCAAACATAGGCAGACCAACCTTAAAACTGAATTAAAGAATTTTTTAGATGTACTAGACGGGAAGATAGATGAATTACATGATTTCCGACAAGGACTGTCTAAACTTGGGGTTGACAACTAGATGGCAATAGATTTTTTTTTTGTAATCTAGGGTCTGGATGTTTGATGTTTTGTTGATCCCAAACATGTGTTTTACAAAATATAACTAGAATGTTCTACTTGTTTGCATTGGTTTTGTACATACAGGCTGAAAATTTGCTGTGGGGTTTTGGGGGTCTTTGTTTGTTTTGTTTGTTTTTTTTCCAAACCAATCATGCTGCTCACTGAATTCTGTTGAGATTAGAAACTTTCTATATTGCTGCTCTGGCTTCGTGGGGTTGGGAACAGGTAGAGGGTTCTGTCTCAGGAATCTGGAACTAGATCTACCTTAAAATGAATATGCAGTTAGTTGTTGCAGGGAAATTTATATCTTTCTTAAGGGCTGTTGCAACCATAGAAACAGAAAACAAGTCTTTCTTGTCCGGATATCAGCACTCCTAGCAACATCCACTTTTATTCCTTGGTGGAAGAGAGAAGATTAGCTGGAGCTCCTGCAGTTTGTAAATCAGCCTGGTAAAATGTGCCTGTGATGGGCTGCAGTCAAGTGAATCACTTCACACAGATACCAGTATCTTTAGGGACCATGTCAATCAGGCCTGATTCGCAGAACCAAATCCAGTGGATTTCAGACAACTGCTGATACCGTGTGCTTGCCTGGACCCATACAGCGCAGTCCACGATGCAAAAATTAATTTCAGCTCTTCAAGTCGTGCATCTTACCCAGTAGGTGAGGACAGTTTCTCCTGCTTAGCAAGATCATCTCTCTTTGGCCTTCAATTTTGAACTCATATGTGCATCTCTGAAAAATGCCCACCTAGGTCTCGGGACCAGATATTTATTTTAAAAAGCGGTATGTTGCTGATCTGTGCACAGAGCGCATGCACCTCCGTGCAACTTGGTCGCTGTTCATTAACTTCCACAGTAGTGAAGAAGGAGGTGTTGATCTGAAGAGCAGTGTGAGGTTATTAGAAAGGGTGTTGCTCAGAAGCAAGTTTCTGCCCAGGAGACTGCTAGGGTCTTGACCATGTGAAATCAAAATCCTTTCCTATGATTTCTGCATTCTCCCCTCGTGTATCTTTGACAGTAGGGTGGGAATTAGCCACCAAGTTAGACTGTCCAAAAAAAACCCCAACCCAAAAGGCAGAAATGCTGTTGTGTTCTCAAACTGATTATTCAGCAGCTCTAAGTATCTTTTGAGACATTCAAGGTTGTACACTGGGCTCCAACAAGAGGGAAGTTCACTTCGTCACAGACAGGGATGTAAAAGGGCCAGAGAGGAGAATTCAGCCCACGTTTTGCTCTTGCCGCTAGGACTGCCTTCACTCTTTCACTTCTTTCTCTGTTGCCTGGTTTGAGAATCGGTTTACAGGGGATTCAGGAAAGAACTTTTATTTATGTGACATTGTTTGCTTAATTCAGGCGAAAGCTTGGTTAAGCACCACGAAGGTGCATTCCAGCAGTGACTGATATAAAATGGCTGTTCCTTTTTTTTTTAATTTAGGGGCTTTTTTCTTTTCTCAGTTATAAAAGTGACTTTTAAAAGAAAGGTGGGTTATGGATGAAACATGCATTGAATACTTTTTGCATGTGGATATATAATCCACATGTTGTCCCTTGAATTTTCATTTAATCTGTTACTGTTGCATTACCTTCATTGCCTGTTTTTTAGAGTGGACTTTGTGTATTTTTTGCCTCTACTCCTTTTAAACAATGGATGTGAAGCTGGGACCTTTCATAACCATTATGACCATTTAAGTCTCTTTAAAAAAAAGTGCTGTAGGCTGTTGATATTTAAAAATAAAAATAAAAATCAGGTACATAGCATGTAGGCGTGTGAAAATTAGACTTTGCCAGCATGGAAGATTCAACAGTTGCATAATGTGGGGTTAGATCAGACTTCTCAAAATTGAAAATGACGTCAGAAACTGTGTGTGGTTGTGCACAAGTAATTTCCATTTTTAGTCTTTGTGTTTGATAGCCAGTCAGATAGACACCACCATTTAACAGGCAGCTCATCCTGCTTCCCCTCTCCTCCCATGCTGCTTTAGAGTTCCTGAGCTGCAGCCAGTCCCTGCCTCAGCTGGGAACCAAGGGATAACATAACTAAGAGCTGCAAGCCCTACAGCTAGTAAGGGCCCCCTTGCCACAGCATTTTATTGCTTTCATGTTGAGGATCCTGCTCCATCCTCTGCTTCCTTCTTCCTATTGAGCAGTCTTAGGGCTTCCCTCTTGGTTTTAATATAAAATACGATTTTTAATGTGATTCTGGATAGAGGAATGCAAAAGACTGCAAACAAATTAATTTATTGGGGTTAATCCAGATTTTTTTCCCCACTTCAGTCAAGTCTATCACCAATCTGGTTCATCAGGAATGTATTAAGCCACTCTTAAATCACAGGAAAAGTGTTTCTATGGGATTGCATTGATTTAACAGATGGAATTTCATACTGACACATTAAACCAGTGCACAGTCTGACACGGGTGGTTATTTCTGGGTTTAGAGGAATGGCGGGGTGCCCTTAGAGGAGGCCCTGCTCTGGCTCTTCTAGTCTTGCCCCAAATGTATGTTTTCCTTATTTGCTATTGCTCTGATGTTGTTAGGGGTAACCACACACAGCTATGTGCTGTGGGAAACTCCATCCTTCAAGCATCCAAGGTCTGGCTATAATTGCCGCCTTTTTCTCCTTTTCCTTCCCAACAGTAGTAAGTTGAGAGCTTCTATGTATAATCACTTTAAAACCTCCCCCAAACTCCATCTCTTTTAACCTTTCCCTCTCTTCCATTTTTTTTTTTTCCTCTCCAAAAGGGTGCTAGGAAGAGGTGGCACATGCTCTCAGGAGTGTTTGGATGCCATCCCCTCTCCCGCCCAGCCCCATCCCTGCCCCAGGACTGGAGCCCCATGCGCCTGCTGGGCAGGGACCGTCAGTGTCACACACTGCTTATTGCTTGATGTTCTGTGGTGGCCCAGCAATAACCTCTGCGTGCCAAACTGTGAGCCCCACACTGCTGCTCAGGGACTCATCCCAGCATCAAAGCACCTCCTCCCTCCCAGCACGGGGAGGGTGGTGAGCCTTCCCCCACCAAAATGTCCGCATGGACACATTTGTTCCTCCTTTTGTGCATGTTGGACCTTCAGCCCATGCCAGGAGTTGCGTTCAGCCAGCAGCCACCTGCTTAACGACAGCCGCAAATGCTGCCAGTGCCAAGAAATCCTCATCCCTGTCCAAGAGAGGGTCTGCAGAGCTTGGTTTTATTTGTTATTAAAACACAATGCTGTGCAAGCCCTGGTTTCCCCGTGCCATCAGCAATGAAATAGGTCATCGCTCCATTTCCATCGGGTCTGAGCGGAGGTGTCTTTATACGAGGTTTTATCTCACCTTGGGCAATCGTGGGTTCCCTTTCTGGGCACAGGTTTCTCCTTCTAAGTGGCTGATGGCAGGATCCATCCTACCTCAGTTACCATGATCTTTCATTAATAAAAGTCTTGTGCTTGACGCTTCCTGTGCTGATACCTCCCGGCTGCACCGCTGCAGATCCCACCACGCTGCCCATCCTGCCCGTCCGGCCTTGGTGTTGTTGACAAGCTGGTGGCTCTGGGAGCAAGAATCTGTGCTGGCCTCTTGTGACACCAGGTTAGGGAGTGTCTTCCTGCTTTCTGGGCTTTCCAGTGAGATGCTCCTTCAAGCTGGTGTTAGAGCTGCTGAATAATGGTGGAGTTTTTTTCTGATGGCCAAAATGAGAAGTAAATACGTCCACTTTGTATTAGCACAAAACCTAAAAATAATCAGTGACATAAAAATATATCGAGCTAATTGTTTTCAAGGGGAAAGAG